GGGTTATGACTAGGGGCATAGCAAATAATAAATACTTCAATTTAACTTAATAATCAATTTAATTAATCTACGAATAATAAAATAATTATAAAACTAAATGTGTACTTACATATTATATTTATGGACGAACATCATCACTGGCTCGGGGGTAGTGTCAGGGCAGTGCAACGCCAATGCCGGAATCTCGACCGCGACCTTATCGAATTTACTATCGACTATCGACTGTCGACTGTCCCCCCAACAGGTGACATTTTTGTATTTATTGGTTCGTTACGTCGAATCATCGAATCAGCATTATTGGTCTATCGGTGCGATGACCGGTGCGATGACCGCGTTAGTGCTGATTTGATGATTTTATAAATTCGTAGTATTGAAAGGAAATATTTTCGCAATTGCCAATTATGCTTATAACTTTGATTTTAAAACTTTACTTTTGTTGCGTAAATGCCAATGAACTTTAATTATTTTATACTTCCTTTCAATCGAATTATTAATTTACGAAATATATTAATATTAAATATGTTATTTTATATATCGAATAATTCCATCCTTGACAATATTATTACATAAATTTCTCTAGTAAAATAGTGTTATTATCATTTTATTTATATTTGTTAAATGTTTTAGGTTGTTTTTTTCATTGTTCAAGCTAATTTTTACTTTCAATTAACTTTAAAATTAAAAATTAAATTTAGTAAACCTTCTAGATACTAATAAATTCACTTACAAAAAGTAACGAACTACAGTTTTTGTTTGAGTTCGATATAATAAAATGAAAAAAAATAATATATTTCGTAAGACACCCTGTACAAGCATAAAATGAAAGAAAATATCATTATCCCACGCATTTATTTATTTTCTTACCAAACAAATTTATTTTTGTTTTAAAAAATAATTTAAATTTTAAAGGCATTATTTATTACCGCCTAAATTGGCGAAAATGACCTATGTGCGCCGCCGCCACACGACTTCTTTGTCCCGAATAATGCAATATTGCGCAGTATCGTTAGAGAGCCTGTCGGCATGCTGCGCTGATGATTCCACGTATTTCTTGTTGAGTATAGGTTTCTTTTTGGACGTGTATAATCTGTTTTGCAAATTAAAATGTCGACAAAAAAACGTATGTTAACGTTAAAGGAAAAAAATCGATGTTTTACAACGTAGGCAAACCTAGTGTCCGTGCACTGACTGATAAATTTAAAATTGAGAAAACAGGCAGCCAAAATTATCAATAATAAAGAAGAACTTTTAAGAAAGTGGAGTTCAATGTCAACATTTCGCAGAAACGAAGTTCCATTATCTGTTATTGCCGAAAGATGTAAAATAAACCAAACCAAACCACACTTCAGGAAATAGCGTCGACTTTATGTCATGATAGATGAAGACTTACTTCAGGAAGATGTCAACCTTGAATATGATACTATCAACTCGGTATCGATCGAAACACATGAATTATTAGAAAGTGGTAGAGATGAGGATGATAATATCCCAGAAGAAGAGGAAGTTGGTGTGATAATACCAAACAAAGATGCTTTATTGGCCATTAAAAATCTTAAATCATTCAGTTCTAAAAGGGGAGACTTAAAGGGCTTTGAGATGCTGAACAATTTAGAAGATCACCTTCAAAATACCATATATATGTGCTAAAAATATTTGTGTGCAGAAAACAATACTCGATTTTTTACTACTCGATAGTATTCATACATTTTCATACTCGATAGTTCTTATACATTTCCCGAGACATTTTCATACTCGATAGTTTTCATTCATTTTCATAATCGATATATTTCATATATTATTTTTAAATTTTTATACATTAGTATGTATGTAATAAATATATAATATTATCTTTCGACACGGATGTTTTATTTGATATAACATATCGTCACACTCCTTATAAGCGGACATCTCCTATAAACGGACAGAAATTTAGTGACGAAAGGTGTCCGCTTAAAAGAGAGTACACTGTAGTTCTAAATTGAAAAACATGACTCGAACATCGGCTATTTTCGTATTTTTTTACTGTCTATATATTTCTTTACTGTGTCTATATAGTAAAAAAAATAATCTACAGGGCGTTCCATTAAAAAAAACCAGAAAACTTATTTTATATTTTAGAAAGTTTGGCGAAGAATTTTGAACATCCAGTATGATTTAAGTTTGCGATATTTAATGACAAGGTAAGTTTAGACCATTCAAAGTAAATACCTAATATAGCTTTGACTTCAGAACAGTTCTTGTATTTTTAATATTTTTGTTAAGAAAGACTGAAAATATATATTTTTTATTTATTTATTAATATATCTGAAACTATCAAATACAATTTACTCTTATCTTAATATAATAATAAGGATAATGTAAAGTGATCTGAAAGGAAGCTAAAAATGCAATAATATACAGGGTGTTCCGTTTAAAAAATGATCATCCGGATCCACTCACACGTTTTGAGCCACCCTATAGAAGTTAAAATATTTTCTGAAATACCGCATGATCGAAAAAAAACGGCGTCCAGTTGGCTTGGAAATGAACATCGTTGACATTCCCCATATAATTTTACATATAAAATGACAGCGATCTTCATTTCATAGCCATCGCTGACGCCGTTTTTATTCGATCATACGGTACATCCACGTGCATACTTTAAGCTTACACTTCAACATATTTTCCCAGTGTTTTATTCTAGGAGCTACATATGCCCGACGCACTATTGCCGGACCCTGTATACAATACGGTCGAAAAAACGGCGTCAAAGGCGGCTGGAGAATGACTATCGATAAATAATTTCCCAAGGCAAAGACCTAGACGTTATTACCACATTAAGCTGGATTTATAAACTCGGGAGTGGAGGTTCAGTTGCCGTTCAAAATGTGCAACGCTATGAAACGAACGCGCGCATTTATAAAGTCAGTTGGTCGAAAAGTTGGCAGTTCGTTTTACGTTTAGCGGAGTTCAAAGATGGTCAATGTTTATATCGGCAGTTGGCGACCGTTGGCGACGTTCGGCGAGAGCTAATGAATAAGCTTCTGTTGATCAGGTGAAGCACAGTACAACGATGCATTGGAAAATGACCCTTATTGTTGTTTCATTATTTCTGTTAATGTAATGTTTATATTTTGCGTAATCTTGGATTACTGTGTTGGAACTTTGACAAATATCAAAAGTATTTTTAAATCGAAAGAAAAACGTTCGAAATTTTCACAATTCCAAAGCTAACCTACAACCGAAACTGACAGTTTATAAATGCAAAAATATTGAACCTCAACTGCCCCGAACATCCAACTGCAACTGAACCTCAACTGAACGCCGACTCCCTAGTTTATAAATCCAGCTTTAGTGTTATTACTTAGCCGATACTCATTATTTTTAATGGCGCTTACGCCCAGTTGGTCTTAAAAAGGTTGTAATTTATGTTTAAAGAGTAAAAGTGATTTTAAATGGCGTAGTTTTAAATTTGAGAAAAGAATTTTCTGGAAATAGATTTGTGTCTAGTAACATTCGATCCTCCTTAAATATTTCCAAAATTGGTGTTAATTTGGAAAAGTTTTATGTCAATTTTTAGTTAATGACATATAGAGATTGACCTCGCCAAAAGTACCATTGAATTATTAGTTTCCAGCCCTCGTTGACGCCTTTTTTCTTGATTATAAGGTACAATTCGTATAAAGTAGTTGGAAGTTATTCTAAGTATTGAAGCAATTTCTAATTATTAAAGACCCCCTGTTGATTTTACAGCGAAGTCATAAAGAGATATTTTAAAGGTCTATTTATCCTGAAGATACCTGCCAAATTTGAACAATTTTAGACGAGCCGTTTTTAACTAATTTAAAAAAAAACTGCATTTATTTTTTAATTAAAATAACAATGCAAAGCCAGTCAAACGTCAACTATGATTTTATCATTGTCAAATGTAATTTGTTGTGCTGTCTGTACTATGTTATAGTATCTACGGTTAGTGTCTCCGAAGTCTCCAAGTCTACGAAATGCATTTTTGTAATATAAAACTGGTTCGAATGAGGCAAAAGCCTAACGTTTAGAAAACATAATTTGACATTGACAAAATCATAAGTTGACAATTTTAGCGTTGGCATTTGCTTGGTTTTGCATTGTTACCTGTTCAGTTTTAATTTAAAAATAAAGATAGTTTTTCTTAAATTACTTAAGATATGCTGGTCCAAAATTGTTCAAATTTGGCATGTGTATTCAGCATACGCAGATCTATAAAAAATATATTTACGACTTCGCTTAAAAATTAACAGGAGTCAATACCTCTGGACAGTTTAGCATGGATTTCATGTTGATTCAGAAGGCATGGGATTTCTTGTTGCGAACGCCGCGCTCCGATGCACCACACACCACACGGTATACACATAATTGTTAAAATTTGAATACCCCTTCGCCAATTTGTCAAGTATCGATGTAAAAAGATTCTTTAATTTTAAATCGTAGTTTTAATAGTCCTTAAGCAATCGTTTAAAAATATTTTCATTTGACTACAATACTGCATGCCGAATAGCGTAAATAATCCTGTATATAATGTGATCAAAAAGCTTTAAAATAAAGTACACCATGACATATGACTTAACAAAAAAAATGAAAATTAGATTAAATTTCTTAACAACGCCCATCAAATTTTTAAACCCGTCTGCGTTGAATCCAAACATTTTAACAGAACAAGTTTATAATAGACGTAGCTACTAAAAACTAACTTGTTCGCGCCATGTTCTTGAATAGTTGTAGACATTTTATTCTTTGGCCCATCTGGAGACGGAAAGACAAATTATATTTCCTGAATCGTTAGGAAAATTTGTTTTTCTAGTAAAAAGCCAGTAACAAGCTGGTTTCCGTTTGGATTCAAAGCAGTGGTGTTTACTAAAAATATCTTTTTATAGATTTCTCGTCCAGTAGCGAAAAATACCCCGGTTTTTTTTCAAGAAATGAACCAGCCACGAAGGTAGTCAAAATTTATAAAACGAATAAATATAAGATTTATTGGTACTTACCCTTATATGGTTTCGTTAAATGTGATATCCAGGTAAACTAAAATGGCCTGTGATGTCATGCAAATGTCTTCCTAATGTAGAGAATACTCATAAATTGTACATCATATTTTGATCTCCAGGCATATTTTCATCTCTTGGCATATTCTGACTAAAAATAATGTACTATTAATAAAGATTCTTTTAGATATAATTACAGTAATCAAATAAGCAGGAATAGACCTTCAATTTTCATTATCAATTTTTCATTATTTTAAAATTAGTAATAAAAAATGAGGAATATCACGTCAAGTGGACCCCCCTTTTCCCACATCAGTCAGGAAGGGTTATGGAATTCTATTTAATATACAGGGTGGCGCACCTCACATTCGCTTCGGTTGATTATACGAAAACGGAAAGATTTAGAAACAAAATATTTTATGGATATATTATATGTGGGAAGGCAATGTGCATAATTTAAATTATTTTGAAATGTACAGGGTGTGTCAGAACTAAGATCCATTCCAAAGTTATATTTTATCTTATGGAACACCCCGTATTTTACTCCATTTTTGGATTCTTAGGCATAAAATAAGGCTTTTACTATAAGGGTTTAATATGTCTAAAAGCTTTGGTTTTTGAGCTATTTAAAGATATTTAAATATGCATGCTATAATAAAAGTTTGTCAACTCTTGTACAGGGTCGGTCAAATTGGACGCTTTTAAAGGGAAACACCCTTTTCTATACGAGATAGACGAAAACTAATATCGGTGTCTGGAGCTCAATTTTCATCAAAAACATGATGGTGAAAACCGCACATCAATATCTGTTACCGTTTCGGAGTTACGGGGTGTTTTTCAAAAATGTGCATTTTTAACAAATCGCTGTAACTTTTTTGCTATGGAAAAGTTTGTATTCCAAAGCACCTTTTTACGTAGAATTTAATGGTTAAAGTATATTTTTTTAAATTCATAATTTAAGAGTTATCAACAGAAAAATTATTTTTTTATTTGGGACACCCTATATATTTTTAACTAAGTAAAAAAATTAAAATTACCTTTTCAAAAATATAACACACTTGATATTTTGTTATAGTCCCCTTCCAAATACAAAATTTTTATAAGTTCGCCACTTGTAGTAGGCTTTGGACCCCTTATTGATGATCTGCCCCTAATGGAACTCAAAAACATATTTTTCCAGCAAGACGAGGCACCGCCACAGAACGCTGAAGTTATCAGCAAATTTTTGCAGCCAATTTCGAGAATAATTGAATAGCTAACTAAGATTCCAGCCGTTGGTCGTCGAGGCAGCCGGACTTAGTGCATGTGCATGGATTTTTATCTTTGAGAAAGAACAAAGGCTTTTATTTTTAAATTGCCCGTATAATCTAGACAAGAATTACAAGTATTTAGCCGTTATGCGCGGGAATCTTTTACCCCCACTGAGTTAATTAATTCCGCGAGAAATTTTCAAAAACGGTCCCGTCTGTCCATAACAAACGATCGACATGTCGAACTCTTGTAGCAAAATCTCATGTCTTGGTTTGCTATTAATTTTTATTTTTATTACATATAGTTTAAATGTGTTGTTAAATATAGTTTAAATTGTCATAAAATTCTGCATCTCTCACTGCAAATATTATGTTCGTTTTAATTGCTGCTCACAGCTACAATTTTCTGCATTACAAACTTTTCCATAGCAAAAAAGTTACAGCGATTTGTTAAAAATGCACATTTTTGAAAAACACCCCGTAACTCCGAAACGGTAACAGATAGGGAATGCAATCCCGCACCAAAATCCCAATCCCGCAAACCCGCGGGATTAAAGCAATCAATCCCGCGGATCCGCAAAATGGCGGGATTGTAAACAATAAATGCTCTTCTTTTCTCTCTCCGATTTTGGGATGCGGTTTGGACCAGGTTTTAGACGCATCTATTGTAATTAAGATGCTATGTGGTTTTCGAAAATATATTTAGCGAATTCTCGTATACAGGGTGTTTTATAACAGTGTACAAATTTGGTTAAGATTTTTTTTACCGAAAATTTACAATTTTTGAAAAATCGAAATTTTAACTAGGTACGACTAATCTGTATTGAAATTAGAAAAAAAAAATTTGGTGTTTTTTTTTATTTTTTTTTAAAGGTAAATACGAGTTTTTTTCCAAAAATATGCATTTATAGTCGTACATTTGGTCCTAAATGGTACAAAAGACATTGCACATTTTGCATAGACCCACAATATACTGATATAGCGTGTATCTTAAACTAGCTGTACAGAAATTTGGACCGATGTATACAGGGTGTTCAAAAAATGTATTTAATATTAAATAAACTTAAATTTTATTATAATTTATCTACTTATTTTATGAATAAAAATGTTATTCTCATGTTGAAGGTTTTTTTTCAACTTGTGTTACTACAACTTTTCAACTCGTTAGTTATCTGCTTTACTGAAAACAAAAAAAAAAATAAAAACCTGATCAAATGGTTTTTTCTAATTTCAATACAGATTAGTCGTACTTGGTAAAAAATTCGATTTTTTAAATTTGCGGTAAAAAAGATTCCTGATCAAATTTTCACACTCTTATAAAACGCCCTGTATACGAGAATTCGCTAAATATATTTTCGAAAACCACATAGTATCTTAATCACAATAGATGCATCTAAAACCTGGTCCAAACCACATCCCAAAATCTTTTTTAGTTCAAGAAATATTCCACTTTAAATTTACCCTAAAATTTTCCTTGTTCCAATAATTATGTCCGGCAGTTTATTTGACCAAATTGTCCACAAGTACTAGTTAAACGCTTTTCTTCCCTTACGCACGCCAGAAAGAAATCTAACAACTAACCTGTTTGTTTCATTTATTTTTAATGGCCAAGCCGTAAGGGGAATCCCCTGGTGTCGATTCCGCACGGTAAATCCCGCAAATTTAATCCCGCGGAATCACAGAGGGATCCCGCATTTGCGGGATTGCATTCCCTAGTAACAGATATCGATGTACGGTTTTCACCATCATGTTTTTGATAAAAATTGAGCTCCAGACACCGATATTACTTTTCGTCATCTCCTATAGAAAAGGGTGTTTCCCTTTAAAAGCGTCCAATTTGACCCACCCTGTACATTACTTTTCAGAATTAATTATTGTGCTGACTTTCAAGCCAGAGAAATAAACTTTACAAAAAAATTTGATTGCTTCCTTAAATGTATACAGGGGTATCAAAAATTGCTGGTCTATTTTAAATATTTATTTTACATAAAAACTTCGTTATTTCAAATGCAACACCCTCTATTTTTTTAAAATAAATCGAAGAAGATTTAAATGCTCTTTCAAACTATATTAGGGTTTCCTATACCTATCTGGCTCAGATTTTGAATAAAAAACAATTTTTCAATAAAATTGTAATCAAGATGGCTGTTGTTGCCATGGCAATTTTCTAGTGACACTTAGTACCTATTTTCAAAATCAACTTTAGTTTATGGACGTTATTTAAATTTATAACAAGTTATTTTTATTTAATTTACCTACAATAAGGTTAATAAGTATTTATTATTTTATCAAGAAAAATGAAGCACTATCTGCTGGCGGAAGGAATGTATATGTTACTACAGTCTGACAAACGGATCTGAAACAACGGGGCAACGGCAAAGGGATCGCAATTTTCTAAAATCATGACCGATTTGATTCATACCATATCCACGAGCGTGCGGTGTTTCATAAAAATATATCAGGAATTTTTATAATATTTTCCAGTAAAGTTTATAATATTATTTTACTTTAAATGTACCTACATTTTGTTTAGCCATTTGCAAAATATAGTAATATTTAAGATATAAAACACAATACAATAACACCGCCAATGGATTTTTCAATAGTAGTGACTGTTTCTACCAAAGACATTATAAAGATAGACCGAACATCTCATTCATAAATACTCGTTGGAAGTGTATCAAACATTCCAATGTGTCAAACAAGGGCAGAAGAGACAGAGAAGTCTAAAATTGCATTTGGATTGTTCTAATGGCCAGTGGCGTATCGTTTTTTGGAAGGAATTTAATTAGTAAAGTAATTAGTAAAATTTTTACTCCATATTAATATACTACATTAACACTTTTTTGTCAGATGAGTTTTGTTATAAGGTCTAATATAATAATATAAATAATATCCCATATATACTTATGTTGAAACGTTAGTAGGTAGTTTTCGAAAATCGCTCCAACGTCGATTTTCAATCTAAACTTTCTCAGTTACTTCTATATAAACTTTCAGTTACTTTTGAATATTTACAGGGTGACTCAAATTTCTGAAACAGTTCTATATTAGGTTTGTGGTTGGCGACTTTTCTTTCAATTTTTTTTTCAGAATATGGAGGCAATGGTAAAGCACATTTTAGACATTTTTGTAAACATAGGTGGCCGGAACATATTTTCAAACTAAAGTTGTAGATTTGCCATTAAATTTCCACTCCAGAAATATCTAGGGTTGCCACCTGTCCTTTTTTGGAATAACTTGTCCTTTTGACTTAAAAAGTCATTTTTATTTACGTATTTTACCTGAGAAAATTACCTACAGCAAACAGAAATATTCTTTTCGTCCAAATTTAATTAGAGATGTTATAAAACTTATAAATAAATTTTTCTTGTTTAGAATAGGCAACATTATTTAGAACTTCCCGTTAAATCTCAAATGATAGTTTAGGTTTTAGTTTTACCTTTTTTGATCTTAAAAAGAACTTTTCAAAATTAGTAATTAGTAACGATTTAGTTAGTTAGCAATCGATAGCTTCCTGCGAAGTGCTGTGTAATAGTTGTTTAATCTTATATTATTAATAACTTCCTATACCTAAAATCAATATTTAATCAGAAAATTGTGTTTTTTTTGAAAATATAAGACAAGATTTGACTCTTTCGGTCTTCTTCTTGTATTATGATGGCTCTGATACGAGGCAATTACCTTTTAGTCTCTCAATAGAAGGCATTTATCATTAAAAGTATCAAATCTGTGTGCTACAGTATGGGATTTCTGTCGCATAATAATGAATATTACGTTTATTTACAAACCCATTACTTTTAAAGGTAGCTTCATCAGACAATCAAATTTTAGTTAAATGTCTCAATCTTCATGAACTGTTAAAGGTAGCTTCATCAGACAATCAAATTTTAGTTAAATG